TCCGCAGACAAGTCGCGAACAAACGCCTGAGATCCCCAGACACGGAACGCAGACGCATCGCCAACCTTCCCCGTCCACAGCAAAGCTAGAGAGGTCTTCGGCATGGAGACCCTGGGCTGAAGGTTGATCTGATGCGCCGCGTAACGAACCGCAAACGGCCAAAGAAATTGGGGGGCAGCCGCATGCATCATGGACGTACGAGCGACATCCATGACCATGCCAATGCGGTGCTCAGCAATCCCATTTTGCTGTGGGGAGTCCGGAAGCTTGAAGGTCTGGCGGATGCCCCGTGCACGACAGTAGGCTCGCAGAAGGCCAGAGTAGAACTCCCCGCCTTGGTCAGAGTGTAGACGCAGAATAGGAAAGTCCGAGCCGAAGCTCTGCCTGAGCTGGACACGAGCTTCGCGGATCCAGTCGATCAACACCTCAATGACATAACCCTTGCTGCGCAAGGGGAAGACTGTGGTGTAACGCGAGTAGTCGTCAACCACCAGCAGGAAGTAGCGCTCGTGACCCTGTCCACGGACGCGGGCCGGGCCCCACACGTCCATGTGAAGCGTCTGCAACGGGGCCTCTGTCGGAGGAAAATGGGAGGAGTGAGGGGCAGCCCGCTGCCGCCCCTCGACATAGGGGACACAGGTAGGGCTAGGCCCAGGAGGAAGGGGAGGGAGGGACCGGGGAAGACCAGAGACAAGGACAAGGGAGGCCATGCCTCGGAGACGAAGCAGGGAGGGGTGACCAAGGCGGTGGTGCCAGAGGAGAGTCTGGTGAGACAGGTGGCGACACGAGCAGGGGGCAGACTCAGGACCAGACATGGACGCTACAACAAACACCTGACCCAACGCAGCTACCTAACCAGACACAGTGACTGGAGGAGACGCAGTGGTCAGTGTGTACAGGCTGGACCCCAGCCGACGTGTAAATGTGGCCAGGTGTCGGCCTGTCCGAGCGTCTGTGCAGTGAGTCATCTGCTGACGCGCAGGAGTGAACTGGTGAACCCCCGCATCCTGCAGGTCAGCACCACTCACCAAGTTCGTAGAGAACGAGGCTAGGTAAAGACCAGACAGGGTGCCAGAGGGGGCCGCCAGACTCGGGAGGATAGTGGAGTAGTGAGCAGGGACATGACCCCCAGAGGGGTCTGCCAGAGAGACTGCAATTGGCCGGCCAAGCGGCGTGAGTGTGGTGCGGTCTCGAAAGAAGGAGCGAGAAGCCCCTGAGTTAAGGGTGAAGATGTGGGAGGCCGAAGCCGACGCAGTACCTGAGAGAGCAGACTCACCAGCACCTGAGGGAGCAGACGCACGAGCACCTAGAGCAGCAACCTCGCCAGCACCTAGAGCAGCAGCCTCACCAGTACCTAGAGTGGCAGTCTCAATGCCCGGGTCGGGCGGAAAACACCGGTAACAGTCACCCTCATCACTAATAGTCATAGCATACATGGCAGCAAGAACAGCATCAAAGTCAAGGTCAAAGGCAGCTACTCCCGCCCTAGACAGCTCACCCCAGGGGGGGGATCTCTGTGGCCTCCGGGAACTGGTGACGCCAAGCGTCCGTCAGGCGGCCAAAGCAGCGCTGGGTTAAGTGCGCACCCCTGCACTGCTCACCGGCGCGGTCGCCAGTGCATAGGACGTAGGTGCACGGACCAAAACCCCCACCCCGCTGGCGTGCAGTGTACCACTCACGGAGCTGCTGAGGGGAGGGGATGTCACGAGTGCGCTGCTGCTGCTGCTGGCGCTGACCACCACCGGAGCCGACCCTCTGTGCAGCACCACCCCGACCAGCTCCACCTCCTCCGCCACCGCCTCCTCCACCGCCGCCACCTTTTCCACCATTTCCCCTCCCACCGCCACCGCCGCCGCCTCCACCTCCACTGCCGCCATCGACACCTCTGCCCCCGCCACCACCCCCACCGCCACCCCCACTCCCTCCGCCGCCTCCACCGCCGCCTCCACCGCCCCCGCTAGCTCCTCCTGCGCCCCTGCCCCCCTTGCCCTTGCCAGGGCGGCGTCTCCCGCTAGGGGTAGACGCCGCACTGTCCGACTCAAGCCCAACGAGGTCGGCCGCAGCAGCAGAGGCAACAGAGGGCAAAAGGGGGGAAGGGGAACACCCCTTAAAGATGGGGGTGCAAGGGTCACCACGAGAGGCTCCTACAGCGACTATGCTCTTGTGCGCAGCTAGGAGGGCCTTTGCGAGGAGGTCAACGGTGAGGGTGGTGGGGCAAACTGAGAGGAAGTGGTCCCTGACTACGCGAAGGGAGTCAGGGAGGCGGGTGACTATATAGTAGAGAGTGATGTACATGGGGGGGGGGTTCTTGGCGCAGAACTCAGCAGGAAGCGCAACGCGGTAGCGAGTGTCACTAGTGCGGAGGTGCGTAATGAGGTGAGCGACTGTGGGAAAGGCAGCAAGGTCAGGGAACAGGTACGGTAGCATGAGGCGGCTCAGTGCAGCAGTGGGAGGGGAGGAGTAGCGTGCAACTACAGCGTCGTACAAAGTCTGAGCACTCTTGTACTGGCTAAAGTGCGCACGCTCAGAGGTAGGCAGGTGGCGACGCACAGCAAGACGTGCAGCAGCATCGCGTGTGGCCCACTGTGAGCGAACAGTGGCGTCAGCATCAGCAGCAGGGGCAGGAGAGGCACCAGAGGTGAGGTCAAAGTGGGAGAGACCGTCTGCCCTATCGCACTGTAAGAAAAGCTGCAGGTCATCTACCCACACATCAAAGTCAATGACCCGACCCTCAGCATCAAAAGCGAGGACACTCGGGGTAGCCATGACAGTAGTAGACTAGTAGCGCGAATAGTGGGGTAAGGGCAGTGCAGTGACGGAGGCGCTGCTCTTACCGGACAGGGCGGCTCGGGCGGCTCGGCGGCTCGGCAGCCTGGCAGGAACTGCAGCTCGGCGGCTCGGCTACTCTGCGGCTCGGGCGGCTCGGGCGGCTCGGGCGGCTCAGGCGACTCGGGCGGCTCAGGCAACTCGGCGGGACGGCGGCTCGGGCGGCTTGGGCGGCTCGGGCTGCTCAAGCGGCTCGGCGGGACGGCGGCTCGGGCGGCTCAGGTTGCGCGGCGGCTCGGGTGGCGCTGGCAGCTCGGTAGTGGCTCGGCGGAGCCGCGCGAAGGCGGGATCGGGGCCGGGAAGGGCGTGCGACGAGGCCAGCAGGGGCTGGGCCGGGGCCGGGAAGGGGCGGCGCCGGGGCCATAGGGTAGGCGACGGGGCCAGCAGAAAGTGGGCCGGGTTGGGAAGGGCGGCGTCGGAGACGAGAAAGGGCAGCGCCTGAGCCGGGAAGGGCACCAACGGGGCCGCAGGTAGGCGACGGGGCCGCAGGTAGGCGGCGGGGCCGCAAGTAGGCGGCGGGGCCGCAGGTAGGCGGCGAGGCTGCAGGTAGGCGACAGGGCCGCAGGTAGGCGACGGGGCCGTAGGTAGGCGGCGGGGCCACAGGTAGGCGGCGGGGCCGCAGGTAGGCGGCGGAGCCGCAGGAAGGCGACGGGGCCGCAGGTAGGCGACGGGGCCGCAGGTAGGTGACGGGGCCAGCAAGGGCGGGGCCGGGTCGGGAAGGGCGGCGCGAGGGCTGCAGGGTAGGCGACGGGGCCAAAAGGGCAGCGAATTGGGGCCGTCAAGGGCGGCGCGACACAGCCCCTAGGGCGGCGCGACACAGTGAGAAAGGGGGAGCGCGACTCGGGCAAGGGCTGAGCGCGTTCTGGGCAGGAAAAAAAAAAATCGTATCGGTGGGCACTAGGAACAGTTCCTACGAGGGAACCTGCTCGATACCATGAGAAAACTGAAACGAGAATGGATGCACTACGAAAGAGTTGGGTACAAGTACTAACCCTAATTGGGTTGTACCCTATATGGGCTACCCCACTACAGCCTACACAAAAGCATAAGCTATAATGTTCTGACAGAAGGTTCGTTTGCCATGCTGAACGGCATTATTGTATACTCATAATCGCCATAGCGTGTGCAAAAAGCGCTCTTTGGGCAGTCATCAGCGAATACGCAAATCTTATGGTAGCCACCCCACAAATTGAGCTTTGAGAAGAAGCCAGCTCCCCGAACCTGATCCAGTTGGTCATCCACTCGCGGAATCGGGTAACGTGACTTCATAGTGACTCGATTCGGAGCCTGATAGTTGGTACACATGTGCAAGCCTCCGTCCTTCTTCTGCGTGAACAACATTGGTGCTGCAAACGATGACGTGCTCGGCCTAATAAAACCCTCGGCAAGGAGATAATATAGCTGGCTCCTCAACTCGTCAAGTTTCGGTTGGCTGAGCCACCACTGCATCGCCCGAACAATCGGTTGCACGCCGGCCTCCAGCTTGATTATGTTATCTTTTGGCCGTTGAGGTGGCAAGCCGTCAGGGAAGTCATATGTGACAATTTTGGGACACCTCCAATCAATGTTCGACATGTCCTCAGGTACAGCATTGAAGAGCGTGTCAATGTTGGGAATCTTTTAGGAGGCTGCCACTTCGTACAGGTGAACATCGTGGCCCTATGCTTCTTCTGTTATCGCCCGCTTCATAATGACCGTGATGACACGTGTCGTCACCGGCTCCGGCTCTGTCCATTTTGGAAGCATCACCCGTCCCTTGTTGCTGGGTACTGTGCATTCCCCCGTCGTCCACTCAATGGTCGGATTGAATCCCTACAGCCCATCTCACCCAAGCAGCACATGGCAGCCGTCCAACGTCGCCACAAGCAACTTCATGCTGAACTCGAAATCGTCGCCATACTTCATCCGATGTTTTCGCAACTCGTCGCGTATGGCCAGCGTTTTCCCATCCACCAGCCGTGTGTTAGACTCCGGTAGACACCTGTTCAACTTAACATCGTTTTTTTGGACGTTGACAAGTAAATGAGGCTGCGACTAGCCCCACATTCATTGAATACTTTTATTTTATGCCCGTTAACCCTCCCTGTGACCAGCATAGGGTGATCCATGCGTTCATGCACCTTATTCGCCCGGTTGTCGTCGACAGCCCGCATCGGTACCACTGCTCGTTGTGGATGGTGATTGAAACGAGGCGGAGAAACGAGGCGGAGGAGGGGAGCGGAGCGGAGGGGGGAGCGGCGGACGAAGTCGTGGGGGAGGACCCATGCGGCAGTCCCGTTCTGGGCGTGCAGGGGCGCGCGGAGGAGGCGGCGTGGGCGGAGGAGTCGGCGGAGAGCGTGGGGGCGCGTAGTGGCGGGGAGGTGTCCGCGAGGGCGGGAAGCGGCAAGAAGGGCAGTCTGGCGCGGAGCCTGACGGAGGACGAGGAGGCGCGCGACGAAGCGCCGGCTGAGCGGCCGCGCGGGAAGTCGAAGGCGCAGGCGAGTCCCAAGGCGAGCCCGAAAGGGCCGAGCGGGCGACGGCTTGCGCGGCCGATGGAGGAGGACGAGGGCGCGGAGGACTTGGGCGGAGCGGCGAAGGCAATGACGGGCGGGCGGGGGAAGGCGGCAGCGGAGGCGAGGGGCGCAGGGAAGGGGCGAGTGAAACCGCGCAGCATGGAGGCGGACGAGGGGGGTGGCGAGGGCGAGTGTCAAGGGCGCTCCAGCGAGAGAACGGTGAGGGGGGAAGACGCAAAGGGCTTGGGCGCAGGCTGTGCGAAGCGGGGTAGCCTGGCGCGGAGCCTGCGGGACGACGACGAGGAGAAGGCGCGCGCGGTGGGGAAGGCGGGAGGCAGTCTTGTGAGGTGCCTGTCGGACGATGAGGAGGAAGACGCACATGCGGTAGAGGCGAACAAGGCTAAGGGGCGCGTGAGGGGTGCAGAGAGCGAGCAGCGCAGCGCGGCCGGCGGAGCGAAGCAGAAGGCGGCGAATGGGATCTCAGGCAGGAAAGGCGGCTCGCTGGCGCGGAGCATGACGGAGGATGAGGATGACGATGCGCCTTCCCCACCGCGTGCAGGCCGCGGGGGAGGAAAAGGCGGACGGGGCGTGCAGGTGAGGGAGCAGGCGACGGGGAAGCCGACGGCGGGGCCGCAAGAGAGTCGGCGGCGGGGCCGCGTGAGAGCCGGGGCGGGGCCGCGTCAGGGCCGGCGGCGAGGCCGCGAGAGAGCCGGGGCGGGGCCGCGATCAGGAGGCGGCGGCGGGGCCGCGTCAGAGCCGGCGGCGGGGCCTCGTCGAGGCGGGCGGCGGGGCCGCGTTGGAGCCGCCGGCGAGGCCGGCTAAGAGCCGGCGGCGGGGCCGCGTCAGGGCCAGCGGCGGGCCGCGATCAGCGGGCGGCGGGGCCGCGTCAGAGCCGGCGGCGGGGCCGCGTCAGAGCCGGCGGCGGGGCCGCGATCAGCGGGCGGCGGGGCCGCGTCAGAGGAGGGGCGGAGCCGCTGCAGAGGAGGCGACGGGGCCGCGTCAAGCAGGGGTGGCGGGGCCGCGTCAGAGGGACAGCGGGGCCGCGAGAGTAATGGCGACCCGAAGGGTTGCGAAAAAAAAATGCGCGCCTCGGGGCGCGCTTCGGTGGGCCCTAAAAAAAAACGGTCCTTAGGAAGGACCCGCTCTATACCATGTGAAAGATAAGAGAACAGGAATGAAATGACTAAGTCAGAGTTGGGTACAAATACAACCCTAGAAAATTGTACCCCATATGTGCTACCCCACTATAGCCTACAAACATGCATCAGTTATAATACTCTGACATGCAACATAACGGACTAGTCGCTCTGCAATCCCTCATGTCGTCCACTTGGTCGTCCAAATTGCAGACTGTAGCTGTGTAGTCTTGGACCGAAGTCAGTTGCTTCTAGGCACGCAAGGCGGATACATGCTCGAATCTTTTCCGCAAGTCGGTGCCCCACTCCTTCCATGTGCGTATCGTGGCCATCCCAAAAATCGAGGCTCTCATTGCATGACATGTGTTGAAGCCCCGTAGTTCGCACGTGTCGTTCTTGCCGACATCCCGTCAGATTGCATCTTGCGTCGCCACCACTCTAGCGCAGGCCCACGCAACAGTGATACTACGACAAAAACGAAGCACGCTTGGTGGTCCGCGGATTCAAACAACATCACGACGTCGACTACGATCAAACGTTCGCACCTGTCAGCCGCCACACTTCCAATTCGGATTCTGCTCTAAATCACCTCCGCCAAGCATCTAGGCCTTCACCAGATCGATGTAAAAGATGCGTTCCTCTACACCATCGTTGGCGCCATTACCTACGTCAAGCAGCCTCATGCCTTTGAAAAAGACGCATCCAAGGTTTGCCTACTCCAAAAAACACTCTACGGCATCAAGCAGTCCCTCTCCCCCACTCCCCCCCCCCCCCCACCAATGAGAGCAGTATATGCACAACGTACTCATCTCGCTCGGCTTCAAGCAATTCCTAACAACCAAGGCATGTATCGCCTCAAGTCTCGTGGCCACTTTATCCTACTTTTTGCCTACATTGACGCCTTGCACTATTTTAGGAGCGGCGTGGAGCCCCTCAATCGCTTCTTGACATTCAATATGCCAACATCATACACCTCTACACCAATTGAATACGCCGAGATACTTGCGAAGAGATTCGCCATCGCCCTCATCGACCTCTCCACTCCATTTTGCATTCCTCCTCGAGGAGACACTCTTAACACCACTCCGCCCTCTGCCATGGATCATCAGCTCTACCAGTAGCAGCTGGGGTGCCTACTGTTTACCAGCCAGCTCACTTAGTACCTGAAACGACACGAATGGGAGAATCTGACGGAACTACGTCGCTTCAATACGTCATCTCTACACCTGACGTTAGGCTAACCTAATTGCTACTCTTTAGCTAAAAGGCTATGTCGATGCCGATCAAGCTGGAGACCTTGACAATAGACACTTCGCACTGGATTCATCTTCAGACTCGAGATTGCTAAACGCATGTCCTAGAACTCACAGAAGCAGAAACTCATTGCCCTTTCGTGAACCAGAGCCGAATTCATCGCCGCCAGTGCAGCAGTTCGCGAAGGACTCTACCTGATGGAACTTCTCCATGAAGCAAAAGTGACAATGAACGAGTCCTTCAAGTTACTCTACGACAGCCAGAGTGCGAAAAAAATCGCAAACAATTCCGGCTTCATCAATCGCAAGATGGACAGCTCGCTCCGTTACTTCTTCGTAAATGACAAGATAGACAAAAGGCAAGATCGACCCCACCTAATGTCCTACTACCAATATGGCAGCTGACTTCCTAATGAAAAAACTTCCACGTCAGAAGTTTCGGCACTACGCCAAATTGTGCGAGGTTATCAAGAAGTCCCAGGTGCCGTACCTTCATAAATGAAGGGAGTGTTGGAATAATCGAAAAGTTATACTAGCGTTCTCGAAGGTATCACAATGGCTCACTACATCATAAGGAAGTTGCGTTCCAACTACTATCGCGTTACATTCATATATAGCGTGCGGTAGTAGAGTTGATTGTCAACTGTTGACTTTCAATCTCCTTCTACTAGCGTGTAACGTACGGTCTTGGTCAGTCATCAGACGGTACGGTTGTTTGTTGTAAGGAAAATTAATTTCCTTACTTTGCACCCATGCTTACCGCATACATAACTGTTCCTGCCAACAGCACCCTACAGCAAAACGGGACCACTCGCCTCGACCACTGTTCCTGCCACTGTTCACATCGAGACCGAACCTCACAGTCCGGTTGGTAACCCGCACTTTGGTCCTCCGCCTTGACAATTCCCAACCTCGGCACATGCCCGTTGCGCACCCCATAGTCCGCGTGTTACTGTTACCACGCTAGTTTTGCTATATAACATTCGCTCAATTCCTTCGCTCATTGTACTCTTGCTTCGATAGTGCAACCTTCGTTCACTCACTCAAATGCACTCGTAACACTTGGTATTCAGAGCTAAGGCCCTGTTTTGAACCTTCTCTTCCCACATTATTGTCAGTTGATTATAGCTTATGCTTTTGTGTACGTTGTAATGGGGTAGCCTATATGGGGTACAACCCAGTTAGGGTTAGTACTTGTACCCAACTCTTTCATAGTGCATTCATTCTCGTTTCAATCTTCTCATGGTATCAAGCAGGTTCCCTCGTGGGAACTGTTCCTAGGGCCCACCAATTCGACTTTTTTTTCCTGCCCGGAGCGCGCTCAGCCCTAGCCCGAGTCGCGCTCCCTCTTTTTTTTCGCCTTGTCGCGCCGCCCTAGTGGCCCTGTCGCCTGCCTTACGGCCCTCGCGCCGCCCTTCCTGGCCACGACCCGCCGCCCGGCGGCCTCGTCGCCTACCCCGCGGCCATCGCGCCGCCCTTTCCCGGCCCCGATCCGCCGCCCTTCGGCCTCGTCGCCCACCCAGCGGCCCTCGCGCCGCCATGCGGCCGTGACGCCGCCCTTACCAGCGCCTTCCGTGACGGCCCCGCCACTTACCTGTACGGCCCCGCCACCTACCTACTGGCCCCGCCACCTACCTGCGGCCCCGCCACCTACCAGCGGCCCCGCCACCTACCTGTGCGGCCCCGCCACCTACCTGCGGCCCCGCCACCTACCAGCGGCCCTGCCACCTACCTGCGCCCCCGCCACCTACCCGCGGCCCCGCCACCTACCTGTACGACCTCGGCGCCTACCTGCGGTCCCGCCACCTACCTGCGGCCCTGCCACCTACCTGCGGCCCCGCCACCTATCACCGGCCCCGCCACCTACCTGCGGCCCCGCCACCTACCTTTGCGGCCCCGCCACCTACCTTTCCGGCCCCGCCGCCTCCTCTCAGCAACCCCGCCGCCTCCTCCCAGCGGCCTCGGACGCCGCCCTCTCAGCGGCCCCGCCGGGCCGCCCAGCAGCCGAGCCGCCCAGCAGCCGAGCCGCCCAGTAGGCGAGCCGACCTGCCGCCGAGCCGCCCAGCAGCCGAGCCGCCGAGCAGCCGAGCAGCCGAGCCGCCAAGCCGCTCAGCAGCCAAGTCGCCGAGCCGCCCAGCACCCGAGCCACCGAGCCGCCGAGCAGCCGAGCCGCCGAGCCGCCGAGCAGCCGAGCCGCCCGAGCCGCCCTGTCCGGTAAGAGCAGCGCCTCTTTCATAGCACTGCCCTCACCCTACTGTTTGCGCTGCTAGTCTACTGCTGTCATGGCTACCCCTAGTGTCCTCGCTTTTGACGCCGAGGGTCGGGCCATTGACTTTGACGTCTGGATAGATGACCTGCAGCTTTTCTTACAGTGCGATAGGGCAGACGGCCTCTCCCTCTTTGACCTCACTTCTGGTGCCTCTCCTGCCCCCGCTGCTGATACTGACGCCAGTGTTCGCTCACAGTGGGCCACTCGCGATGCTGCTGCATGTCTTGCTGTGCGTCGCCACCTCATACCTCTGAGCGTGCGCACTTTAGCCAGTACAAGAGTGCTCAGACCTTGTACGACGCTGTAGTTGCATGCTACTCCTTCCCTTCCACTGCTGCACTGAGCCGCCTCATGCTAGCGTACCTCTTCCCTGACCTTGCTGCCTTTCCCACAGTCGTTGACCTCATTACGCACCTCCGCACTAGTGACACTCGCTACCGCGCTACGCTTCCTGCTGAGTTCTGCGCCAAGAACCCCCCCCCCATGTACATCACCCTTTACTACATAGTCACCTGTCTCCCTGACTCCCTTCGCGTAGTCAGGGACCACTTCCTCTCAGTTTGCCCCACCACTCTCACCGTTGACCTCCTCGCGAAGGCTCTCCTAGCAGCAGAAAAGAGCATAGTAGCTGTAGGAGCCTAGTGGTGACCCTCGCACCCCCATCTTTGAGGGGTGTTCCCCCTCCCCTCTTTTGCCCTCTGTTGCCTCTGCTGCTACGGCCGACCTCTTTGGTCTGGAGTCGGTCGATGCGGCGTCTACCCCTAGTGAGAAGCGTCGCTCTGGCAAGGGCAAGGGGGGCATGGGCGCTGGAGGAGCTAGCGGGGGCGGTGGAGGAGGCGGTGGAGGCAGTGGAGGGGGTGGGGGTGGTGGTGGGGGTGCTGGCGGGGGTGGAGGTGTCGGCGGCGGCAGTGGAGGCGGAGGCGGCGGCGGCGGTGGCGGTGGGAGCGGAGGTGGTGGAGGTGGCCGAGGTGGAGGAGGCGATGGCGGAGGCGGAGGATGAGGAGGTCGTGTCTCTTCGCAGAGGAGTGGCTCCGGTGGTGGTCAGCGCTAGCAGCAGCAGCGCAGTCGGGAGACCCTATCCCCTCAGCAGCTCCGTGAGTGGTACGCTGCACGCCTGCGGGGTGGGGGTACTGGTTCGTGCACCTACGTCCTGCGCACCGGCGACTGTGCGGGTGAGCAGTGCTGTAAAAAACTAAGGACGGAGTCTATGAAGATTAGGTGTCCAAATTTTTTAAAATCGTTGGTCTCAATTTCTGGACAGAAACGTCGACTTCACAAGAAACGTTGTCGACGAAAGGTACACTATTAGAATCCCAAGAAATTCGAATATGTTGTAGCCGTAGACCGTGGCTAAATTTCCCAATTTGAATCGTATCAAATTATGAAGCATATCTCAAGTTATATTTTTCGGCACACTAGGGGGTATGCTGCCACAGAAATTTAACTCGATCACAATTAACTCACAAGTCCCACAAAAGAACATTAGAGTAGCACTAAACCTGGTAGGAGGGGAAGAGGAGGACGAGAGAGAAGGTCCCAAGAGAGAGTCCCCAACCAAGGAAACCCCATGCCTCACAATTCCCTTCCCCATAGGCAACAAACTTTGACCTTTGTCACTTTCCAACCCATGCCATCCACCTCACCACAACTTGGCCACACTTACCAACCTGGTTTGGCTTCACCCAACCTCTTGGCAGAATCTACAGTGATGGGTTTGAATTTTCCAACCCCCACAAGTCTGTACCCCATATTGAGTCAATGCCACAACTTCCCATAGTAGCTGCAACCAAAATATATAAGCATACGAGCTCCAATGTTCGTAACTTTCTTGGTTGTGCTCCGATCGCGACGATTCTTGGTTCGTCGGAAAGCTCTTGAGTAGAGGAATCACTTCAGATATCTGCTCAAGCTAAATAACATACACTCACTCTGAAAAAACCAAACCACATCAAACACAAATTCTTGCACACGCTCACACCACGCATGCAACGCACAAACACATGATGGGAGGCAGACACACGTGAATGCATATGGTTGCATCACACAACAAGTGTGGGGGTGCGCACCCCACCCAGCACTGCTTTGGCCGCCTGACGGACGCTTGGCGTCACCAGTTCCCTGAGGCCACTGAGATCCCTCGTTGGGGCGAGCTGTCTAGGGCACGGGTAGCTATCTTTGACCTTGACTTTGATGCTATTCTTGCTGCTATGTATATAGTGTCTATTAGTGAGGAGGGTGATTGTTACCGGTAATTTCCGCCCGACCCGGGCATTGAGACTGCTACTCTAGGTACTGGTGAGGCTGCTGCTCTTGGTGCTAGCGAGGTTGCTGCTCTAGGTGCTAGTGCGTCTGCTTCCTCCGGTACTGGTGAGTCTGCGCTCTCAGGTACTGCGTCGGCTTCAGCCTCCCACACCTTGTCTGGTCCTTACCTCCCCTCGTTCTCTACGAACTTGGTGAGTGGTGCTGACCTACAGGATGCGGGGGTTCACCAGTTCACTCCTCCGAGTCAGCGGGTGACCCACTGCACGGACGCTCGCACAGGCCAACACCTGGCCACATTTACACGTCGGCCGGGGTCGAGCCTGTACACACTGACTAC